ATTTGTCCAGTGTGGTGGTTTGAATGAAAATGTCCCCCACAGGCTCCAAGTATTTGGACATTTTGTCCCCAGATGATGGCGCTGTTTTGGGAGGTTTTAGAAGGTGTGGCTATCCTGGAGGAAGCACGCCACTGGGGGTGGGCTTACAGAGGTCTTAAGCCTTGCCAGATCTCCAGTTGTTCTCTGCTCCCTGTGCCTGTGTGATGATGTGAGAGCTTAGCTTCTGCTGCTCCTGCTCCAGCCACCTCCAGCCACCATGCCTCCCTGCCAAGACGGACTGTAATTCCCCTGGGACCATAAGCTCAAATAAACTCTTCCTTCTATAAATTGCTTGGGTCAGTGTTTCTATCACAGCAACAGAAAAGTGACTAATACATCCAGGGTAGGCACACATTGTAAAAGTCATTCTCACATGTTGTTATTCATTGCTTCAGGTCAGATCCTATCCCTCTCACAGTTTTTATGTTGTAACTTTATCCAACACTATTATATTATTCTGGCATAGACTGTTCAAACTTTGAACACTGAGCTTTCAACAGGTTAGCTCTTGGATTCTGTTAATATATCCCTATCACTTTCTAAAGCATTTCTTGATTTTCTGATATAATGAGCTGCTCCAGACTCAACCTGATTCCCTGCATTAATCCTAGAATCTGCCATTTCCCAAGGAGCCCTGGCACCTATTAGGAAAAGCATCAAGATCTGAGCTCTCTAACTGAGCCTCTGGGGTAGGAGTATAGCTAGACCTTCAGCAGACAGAGTTGAGAGTAAATGTGTAACCCAAGTGAATAATCTGTGTCCCCCCACTTCTTAAACTGTAGATCATACCCTCATGTGGGGGAGCCAGATTGGCAACAGTAAAATGCTTCTGACTGTGTAATGAGCAAAAGTTTATTCAAAATCAAATGTAGCAAGTCTTTCTGGCAGCACTTGCCCATGTTGTGCCAAAATTTCACCGCAGCCTCAGTTCTGAACATTCAGCCTGTGTATTTTACACTGCCCATGGTGTTGTGCCACACAATGCCATACGGCACCTGAAGCATCTCTTCTTAGGTCGAAGACTTGTATGTTTAAATTGCAATGTTTCAGCTCCTGTATACTATTTTACATACCTATGCACCTGAGGTCACATAAAAATTTATCAGGAAGAAAAGGATCATCAGTGTAAAAAAATTAAGAAGCTCTGATCTATGTCACTATTTCTATATCCATTTACCATACATGTTTAAATTGAGTTTACAAAAAAACTAATGAGTTTACATGATATCTCTTACCTTAACCCTACCTGCTTAACCGTTACTTGCTTTCGTTGAGGTCTTATATATACTAGGCAAGCACTCTACCACTGAGCAAAGCCCCGACCGCATCTCTAACTTTTTAGACACTGAGTGGGTGGGTGGTGAATAAATTCACCAGTCAGAACAGAATAGAAAAGACAAATTTATTGAGTACATTACAAGGAAACAGTGGGCGAGGGTAATAAAAAAAGAACCACCTC